TCAGCTCTGTTGGGCTACTGGGTTTGTAAGCTCCTAAGAACAGAAACTTTTAGGAGTGGGAGAACCTCGCACAATTTCCTACATCTTGAAGGAGGTTTGCAGTAAGTGGCACTATTACCTTTTCCAACATGTAATTTATGGTGACCTACGATTAAAAAGATAATAATGAAGGCTGAAGAGAAAACTCATTACAATATACAGTCTGCTCTGCAACGAGATAATAAATGAGAAACAACATAAATGAGAACCACCAAGCTCCATCAGCCACTCGACCAGCACAAAGATCAGAGCAGTTTCAGGAAACCCACGTGTCCCTCCCTTGCCAGGCAGGTCACACAAATGGCTCCTGGAGCCTCTCAGCCCAGCTGCTCGGGTTCATTCACCAATATAAATAGACTCCATAATGCAATAACTGACCTGCTCTGAAAGAATCAAAATCCACTTATGACCTGCTTGTAATTGGAGAAAACACATGTACAATCTCTGTGAAACTAAGTTATAACAATTCTTACATTTCCTGCCTCATTTGCCTCCAAAATACACAATACAAGACTCTATATGACAATATACAAACTATATACCCATGAATACAATACATACCGCACATATATACCCATACATACACATGCTGAAGAAATGTAAGGAAATGTAAACAAGCAGCATTAACAGAACAAGAGGATGATTCTAGAAAGGACTAAGCACTGCAGCCTGTCTGTAGGGGGGAGCATCCGTTCTGCACAGTGACAGCAAAGCTTGATTGGATTTTGCACTGTTGGAACAGAAGCATTTCTGCAAAGCCTAATCAGATTCTATTCTCACTTCCATGGGGTATCCATAATGCACAAGGATTTCAAGTCAGACCAGAAATAGAATACTCAAAAGGGAAAGGAGCCTGCTTTATGCATTTATGGAATGGGAAGCAGTTGTCTTTAATCCTCAAGAGCACAGACAGGGTATCCCAGGACCACATTCATCTCCCAGCATGTCTCAGGAACACTGTAGCACACAACATCACCACACTGATCAGGCTCTTGCATTACAGAGAGAAGGAATGTTCAGACTATAAGTTGTTATTTCTCCTAGTTCCTCCTTCTGAAAGTGTGGCACTGCTGGCTGGGCCAGCTCCGGAGCAGCCATCCTTGCTGCAACAGAGGGAAGGTCTCCATGGCAACAGCCTGCAGAATCCCTACTTTTTACTCACTCCCCAAAGTCAATTTTTCTTTGGTACCCAACTGTCTAATAAATCACTTAAACACACAAAAAGCAAGGTGATTAAGTCCATATGGATAGATGCTACAAGGAGGCAACACGAACTCAAATGAGTCATGCAGGTTTTATTACACCTGAGGCTTGGAACTGCTCATAAAAATTGCACAGGGATACTATCACTGCATGATTATTACTACACACAAACATTATCATTCACTAATTACACTTGCCTGATGCTTCTCACTAGACTGACTTTTCAGTTGCTTGTTACTTTGTCAAACTTTAACTATTCAGTCTGATCATCAATGACATCGATCTATGCAAGGTGCCTGGTATAGATGGTTTCAGCCAAAACAGTTCCAAATACCTTGAGCACTGCTACCCATCTATTCCTCAGCCCTGGGCAAGGCGGCAGTCCCACCTTCCTGGCCTGTGCATCTCTCGGCAGCATGAATCCATCCTGGGAGGCTCCTGCCCTTTCCCAGCTCGCCCTGTGCCCACAAGCGCCACGGCAAAGGCAGGGACACAGCAGCTCAGGGAGCAGGTTGTCTCCCTGGTCACCAGAGCCCTGCACTGCCCAGTACTGTCCCAACTGCTCCGCGCCGGGACACACCAATCACCACGGCCACCAGGAACCACACTGGAACTGAAGTCCAAGCAACCTCTGTCAAGGGCAACCAACTTGTCATGGACATGAGAACACAGGACTGATTTCAGCTTTCTGTGATTAGAATAGTACTTGGCAGTCGTTGTCCAAATGAATTCCCACACAGTCAGCAAATCCACCAAATCTATTTGGATTTAAAAAAGAAAAATCCTAGGCAGAATTTTCCTCTTCTCCACAGAGACTCCAAGAAACACTGCACTTGTTATCAATTTGTGTCACTGAAGACACTCTTGGCAGGATGGTAATAGGTTGCAGAACAGAGCTGTGAAGCAGGGAGTCAGGAGCAAGGCCCTGGAAGAACCACCCCATGGAAACGACCAGCAGGGTGACAGCAAAGAACTTCTGCAATTGCTTTTATAATTAAACAGCCACACATTCCATCTCTTATCTGGACTAAGTTAATTAACGATGGGAGACAGGAATATGGTCTCCATCCTCAAACCTCTTGCCATTTTACAGTACTACAGCCATTTTTTAACCCCTTTTTACAGTTTTACAAATTTCACATGAACAACAGCTTCCTTTCAATAGCAGGTGTTTGAAATGTTCAGCTAAAGACTGGATTACTGAAATACTGAAAAGCCAGTATTACCACAAGTTCAAATCATTATTCCCTTCCACATGTATCCTTAGTCACCTCTCCCTTTGATCCTGCCCATTTGGTGGGACAGGTGGAGGTAATCAGCCTGCAATGCTGCAGGGACACAGCTTAGACAAAGCAAAAAACTTCTTACTGCCCAGGAGAAAGTGATTTTATATGAATCAGATTGAGCCCACTAATCCAGCACCATTCTGTTTGGAAGCAGACCTCTACCATTGCTGTTCTACTAGATCCTTGCAACAGAATTTGTGACATGCAAAGTTTGCATCTCTTAACTCATTTTACTCCACAGGATAAAGTAAAATGACGGGAACCCATCCCATCAGCACGCACTGCTTCTCACATCATGCTGTTCCCTGCTGCATCAATCTGATGGCTACTGAAACCAGTCAGTCATTCCCATTAATATCTGCTATTTTCCCTTGTAGTTAACGTAATCAAAGTCACTGCATTAAAAAAAAAAAAAAAAAAGGGCAGAAATTCACACTAGCTTTCATTTTGCCAAGCTAAATAGGTGCAATAAAGTGATCCATGACAAAACCGCTCACATTAGTAAGTTGAATAGAAGCATCATTATTTTAACAGCTATTTTCCTATAATGGCTTTTCTTAGAAACAAGAAATTTAATTGTAACAGTACAATTAAGCCCTATGCAAACTCTGCAATGCAAGTTACCTGACCCACACAAACATTATCTTTTTTACACACATACTTTTCATTCAAGAACTCCTGAAGCTCACATGCTCCTGATTTCAAGGAGGATCAAGAACCCATGTGGGTCAGTAAACGAAAGGGGCAACCAGAGGCACAAAACTCTTTCCTTGTTCTACCATTCAGTGACATCATTTTTATTGTTTTTCCTGTAAAGTGCATAGTGTCCACAGATTCAAGTACAGTTCCAAACATGGAACAAAAAATACTCTCATTTTTTAGCTGATTTTACACACCCACTGCTCAGAGCTGACATCTTAAAGACTGGAAAGTGAGCATGACAACCATGAGAACTAGCCCTGCCAGCCTGGAGCTGCAGAAGAACACAGCATTAACATGGGCAAGCTTCCAAATTAAATTTACAGTGCTGTCTGTGACTCTTCAAGGACATGTACCTCCCTGAGCTGTATATTGCTGATTATGCTACATCATTATTCGTTATCTAAACTAAGGCATTCACATTTTTTTCCTTTCAAGCTGGAGGCAGAAATCATTCAATCCTTTTGAAAATGCAGTCCTATTTCATTATTTGCACTACCAAACCGGCTGGGACATTTACTGAAGTTGTGGAAGGCACAAGCTGCATGCTCTAAACCTGTGAGGACTCAAACCCACAGATCCTGCCTCTGAGGGCAACTACCACTATAATTTCTCCTCATTCAGCCTTGTAATTTTTAGAATATTGTTGGCAATGCTGGGATGAGGCTCCTAAATCTCACTTCCTGCTTGCTGGATGTCACTTTGTGCCAGGCCCTATCCAACACACAGTAAGCCCACGCACTATCAGTGCTTCCAACAGCAAAAGCAGGAACCCTGAAATCCACATCCCCGTGACAGAGGAAGAGCTGATGGTAAAATGATTTACAGTAACACTCAGTGAATCCATCACCAAGCCAGGATCTCAGCCTTGCACCAAGACTATCCTTACCATCATTTTAGAAAATAAGTAATACTAAACAGCAAAAAGCAGAAATGGAGTATTAGCATGAATTGCTGTGACCACAGAAATAGAATCTAGTATTAGCCAAGATCAAATAAACAAAAACATACCCCTGATTATTGGAAATAACAACCATCTGTAAAGCCATTCTAAACTCACCTGACAGAGATGAGAATACACTCAGGCAGGCTTTGGGGGAAAAAAAACATCTCTTCCAGGAACTGGAACATTTGTATTTCTAACAGAACAATTTGCAGCAGCTACTTAGCAATTGCACAACGATTTGTAGAGTTACATGGCAATTTGTCATTTACTACCACCTGTCTAAAGTGCACAACTCTTAGCTCAAGGACAGTGCATAGGTAAGACAACACGTGGTTATTTACATTCATAGCATAAAATGCTTCCAAAGGAAGCATCTGAAAGCTGCTGGACCCAAAGGAAGGATTTTTGTGGCGCAAAACACAAATTCAGTACCACTTGTTTAAAACATCATTTTCTAGAATGATCAGAGTAGATTCCACTGCATTTAAGGTTTAGCTTGCAGTTAAAGTTTAGGCACAGGTTTAATCAATGCATTTTTTAAATCCATTTAAATCCTGATATAAAAGTTTACTAAGAAACACGTGAGATGTATTGATTTTTTTCTATTATGGGTAGTGTTTTTTTTTTTTTAATAGTAGTAACTTTTACACATCACAAAACCATGAGGAACTTGAAGTCACCCCCCTGAGGGCCTAAACCCCAAAGTGCAGAGAGGAGTCAGCACAGGAGCCCATCCTGCCCGTGCTCAGCATCCCTCGGGTCAACAGCCAGGGCCGTGAAACCCGAGCAAACCACGTCAACAAAACAAACACCAGCCGAACACTGACCCAGCAAAGAGCCTATGAAGATGACAACTTGCACGGCGGTGGTGAAGTGCCTGTAGCTTTGCTCCTCGCCGTACTCGCCGCTCTCCGGGGCGCCCATCCCGGTGGCGTTCCTTCTGCTCCAGGCGCCGTGGGCCGCTGACACGTTCCTCATCTCCACGGCCCTGGCCACGGCTTGGTAGAGGGCAGGCTCGCCCTGGCTCTTTGGGATCCAGCTCCTGTTGTGCCCCATGGCCAGGTCTCCTTCCTCCTCCTCGCTGCCTAGGGCTCACGCATTGCCAACGCGGAGCCCGGGGGCCAAGGGAGCATCCAGGCAAGGAAAGGCTGGGATGAAGGGAGCCCGGCATGCCGCGCTGGGAAGCACCTTCGTGGTGGCTGCGCGCCGCGGGAAGCGGGCTGCGCTGTGCGGGACGGCGGCGGCGGGCGGCGCGGCGGGCTCTGCCCTGCGGCCACGCGCCCCATGCTGCTCGCTCCTCACAGCCGCCGCCGCCGCATCCCCTCGGCCCCGCGCCCGGAGAGGGAAAGCGGCGCCCGTGCGCTCAGCGCTGCCGCTCGGCAGGCGCACACCCGCTGCTGCACACCAGGGCAGCTCAGGAAAGCTCGCGAGCCGCGAGCGCTGCTCCCCCTTCTGTCCGCAGCCTTTGCATTCGCTTTTATCCCCCCCACAAACCCCAAGGAGAAAAGTCACCTCTCCCCGTTACACATCCCCTGGGGCTCTCCTAGCTGATCCCGCCCTCTTTCCCTATGGTAAAAACCAGTCCAGCCTCACGGGCGCCGCCTCCCGGGAGCCCCGGGGGACACGGAGCCCCCCGCGAAGCTCAGCGAGCTCCACGGTCACCGCGTCCAGCGCGCTCGGACGGGGAAGAAAAGGCTCCCCGCGCTGCCCTCTATACCGGGACGGACACAAAAAGGCACCGCGCGGCCGCTCCCACCACAGCTCAGCCTCTCAGGACCGTAACGGGGCCCCTCAGTCCCCGGTACCGCGGGAGGCGGCGGCCCCGGGAGCGGGAGGCGCAAGCGCCACCACCAGAGCGACGCCATCACGTGGTCAGCGCGCGGCCGGCAGCCATTTTGAGCGGCCGCCGCGAGGGAGGCGGGGCGGGGCGGGGGTCTTTAATGGCAGAAGGCGGCAGGTGGCGGGTACGGGGTGTTGTGTTGTCTGGGGCTCTGGCACGTAGCGGAGACACGGGTCAAGAGCAAGAGTTTCCGAGCTGGTGCTGTAAAACAGCTCCCCTAGCTCTGATAGTGTGCCTGGAGGCATTTCAGGTGTATACATGCCATAGATAGGGTTATTGTTATTTCCTGGAAGAGCTCTCACACAAGCGTCTGGTGTTCAGGTGTGGAAAGAGCCTGCGCCTTTGTGAAGGGTGCCCAGCTTAAAGTATGTTGGGCTTTAATGCTTTTAGAAAGATAGCTGTATAAAATCCTTTATTTTCACTATATAATGTTAATTATATTTTAAATGGTATTTAAATTCTATTAAAAATGTATGTGTTTCCATGCTAATGTTAACATTCCTACAAAGTTTAGCACCCGGAGAACAGAAGTGACCCGGTTAATAAACACCTCTGCATCAAGCCCTCAGGGCTATAAAGCAGGGCTGCAGCAGTCGGTGTGTTTTGTCTCTTCCCCGCAGATGACCCTACCCCGTTGCGGAGCCTGCCTCCCTTTCCAGTTTGTGCCTGGCTCCCAGGGGATTCGCTTCTTGGGGAGCAGGCCGCTCCTGCCCAAGGCAGCTCGCGGGCTGCGGCCACTCGCTCTTCAGGGAAAGCTGCCCCTTTAAAAAAAAAAAAAAACAAAAACCTCCCTGTTTCTACACATTTTTTCCCTATTGCAAATATTTTAAAGGTTCTATATAAAAATAATAACTTTTTTAAAAAGCCTGCTGTATTTGGTGCGTACTTGTGTGTTCACGGTGGGGCAGGTGAGGGGCCCGCGGGCAGGGGAAGCGGGCGACCCCCCGGCCCCGGGTACCGGGACTTGCCGGCACCCGGGCCCGTGGCTCGCGGCTCCTCCTCCCGCTGCCGGCGGGGGCGGCGCCGCGGGCCGCCCGCCCGCCCGCGATGGCCGCCGCCCGCCGCCACCGCCCGCCGCCGCGCTGACATGGCCCGCAGGAGCGCGGCGCGGCTGCCGCTCTCCGAGCCCGCCGCGGAGCCGCCCGAGAGCTACCAGCTGCGGCAGGAGAACGAGCTCCAGGTGCTGGAGTCCATCTACGGGCAGGACTTCCAGGACCTGCGGCGGAACCAGGCCTGGAAGGTAGCGAGCGCGGGAGCCCCCGCGGCCCCTCCGCTTCCCAGCGCCCCTGCCGTTGCCCAGAGCCCCGAGCCGGGGGGAGCCCCTCCGAGCCCCGTGCCCGGCCGGCACCCGGGGGGTCCCCGCCGGGCCCCGCTCTCGCTCCGCTTTAGGGCCACCGCCGCCTGCCCGTTGCCGCCTGGCTTGCGTTTGGTGCAAAACGCCCCTCCGCGAAACGTGGCTTGTTCGGGGCGTTGCTGGGTGTCCCGCTTGCAGTAGGCCGAGCAAGTGGGGGCAAAGCAGATCCCCTCGTGTCTCCGTTTGGGAGGGCCACAGGAGCCACAAAACGTGCCCAGGGAATATCCCGGGTGCTCCCTTGCTGGCATCAAGTCCTGTTGCTTCTTGGTGCTGAGTCCTGTTACCTCTTGCCCGGCACATCCCATTGCCTACAGTTTGCCCCTGGTCCTCCGCCTGTTTGGCAGTCTGCTCTGTAAGTGGCATCTTGTGTGCTTAATCCCCTGGGCCGTTACATCCTCTTGGTAATTAATGCTGTGCCTATGACTTGTCTTTTAATTAACTGTCACAGGCATTTTTTGCATTTCCGCTTAATTCATTCCTTAAGCAACTAATTGCACAGCTGTTTGAATAATTCATCAGCATACAGTGCGTGTTGCTGAAGTCTTTGCATACTTATTTTGCATTTTTTGTGTTTTAGTAAGTTTACTTTGTCTGTGATTATTTCCTTGAGAGCTTAATACATTAAATTTTACCTTCTCTTAGATTACAATTAATTAATATCTAGGTCTACTATTCATTGCCTTTTTCTACTTCTCTTTCGTATGCACAGTGTCTTCTTGGGATTTTTTTCCAAGTGGCACTGTCTTCTTGTACTTAGAGATCACTCATTTGAGTTGCTTGAATTGACAGTTATTGTCATCTCTGTCCTTTTTTTTTTTTTTTTTTCCTCTCTATTGGTATAATGTTTTTATTTGTGATATTCCATGAGTAACCCATTGCATTTATTTGTTTCTATTTTTCATACTAAACAGAGAGGGAGGATCTCACAGTAAAACCTTTCTGCTCAGTCTGATTTACTTGTCTAATAACTAACTGCGCTTTCTTGAAGAAGCTCCAAAAATAAGCAGGATAAACTCAGATAATCTCTGAATCAGTTCACCTTTGTATATGTGTGTGTCTGTTGTGTGGTAGTTTGAATGGATGGTCTAGCCTGAATTCTGACTTAACGTAGGCCGTGAGAATTGTGTGCAATAATTCCTGTTTACTAAAAGTACTATTAAATCAAATTCTTTGGTTTCCATTTTAGGTACAACAACCTCCGGAAATTAATTTAGTTCTGCGTCCTCAGGGATTAACTGGTGATAATGAAGTATATGCCCAAGTTGATTTATGGGTCAAATGTCCACATACTTACCCTGATACGTGAGTGAACATTAACATAGATTTTTTTTTCTGGATTTTTCTCTTTGTTTTCTATAGTAAAGTGTAAGCTGAAAAACATGTAGTTTTATTCACTGCTATTATTCTTGCTGTCTGCATTTCAGTATTAAGCCTGCAGTATTTTTAAGTAGGTGGCAGTAAAACTGCACCTGACATGGATGCAGTCCCTTGAGCAATGGAGAGTAGCAGGGATGCCCCTGCCCGTAGGAGACCTGGTGGCCCCAGTTTATACCTTGAGGATACCCAAGTATGGGTGTACCTTTTAGCAGCTGAGTGCCCTTTTGGAGCTTTTCAGCTCAGGACCTGCTCTGCCCAACTGGGGACTGATTCTTCACTTTTAAAACAATCTATTGGCCTAGTTGTATCTGCTGTTCCTGGTTTGTTTGTTTGTTTTGTTTTGTTTTGTTTTTCTGAATTAACCTTTTGGAGGACAAATGGCAGTTTTCCATACAGAACTTAGAAAGGCTTGCAGGTGATCAGGGCCTTCCTTGTTTTGCGTTGGCAAATTGTGCAGGTCAGTGTCGCTCTGAGAGCACTGACCAAAGGGATTCATTGACTTCTGGCACTGGTTGTGTGCACAGAAAAACTCCCACTAGTCCATCCATTCATGCCATGACCTGAGTGTTATTCCTTAGCGGGTGCTAACTCTACCCTGCAACATAGGATTCAACGACCACTGTCATTTTTATTAATGCTCGTGTAGTTGCAGTTCTGCTTGTTCTTATAAACATTTTTTCCTCTTGTTGATATTTTGTCAGCATGTTTCTTTACATTTGTGTTACCTGTTTACTAGCAAATAGTATACTAGTAAATGAATCATAAACACGTTAATGTTAAAACAATTTATAATATTTTTAAAGGACTCATATAGATTACTAGTTGAAAGCTAAATTATGATAGACTTTTTTTTTTGCAGGCTATATATTTGTTGGATATATAGCTATCAAGCAGTCTCCAGTCAGAAAAAATAATGCTAGTAATTATAAAATAGTTTTTTTTATTCTATATGCAATATATACTGCTCATTTGATCATTGTCCGATTGCCAGGTCACTGTAAACTCCTTACCATTTGCCTCGCCCTTTAAATCTTCTATCAACTTTTTGTGTCTTACACAATTACGTTTTACAATTAACATTTTTAATGAGATATTTTTTTCTACTCTCTTTTTTGTACTGCTCTGTTTCTTCTGCCAGTGTTCCTGAAATAGAACTAAAAAATTCCAAAGGCTTGTCAAATGAGAAAATAAATGAATTAAAATCTGGGCTAGCAGAATTGGCAAGACAGCGCTGTGGAGAGGTAAGAGTTTTTTACTTCTCCGAGAAGTGAACTTGGCTTCTAAATAGTTTTCAAAAAACGAGTGGAGCATAATATAGTTAAATACATCCACACTGGAAAACAATGAGTTTTATTGTTGCTGAGGAAGAGACTTACCTTCTTTTTTTAAGACTGTTTCTGATCAGTGAGAATTCAGAGTATGCATGCCCTAAAAATACAATGCCTATGTAAGTATTGCAAGTTGTATCCCTGTTTAGGGACAATGAATAAGAGTTATTTCACATTATGAAGGTTCATATTCACTCTATAAAATAGGGAACTTTCTGCTAGTTTCATTTTAATTTGAATATTTTACACAGCTGTAGGCAGTTTAAGGAAGCAATGATTGCATAGACAGTTTTCCACTACTTGGTTCATCTAGCACAGAACTGGAGGCAGGAGATCTCTGTAACTTTTGCAAAGCCAGAGCAACTAACTGCAATATTTTGCACTGAAAGCAAAATATTCTCAGTCAGCCTACCACCTGTGCACTACACTCCTATTTTGTTCATAATTTTTATGCAGGTAGCTTCAAAAGAATTTCTTTAGCCAGGCACTATATTATTCCAGTTCTGTTTAATATCAAATAATTTCCTTAAAAACGTGTTGATATTTTTGAAAGGGAACAGTTTAGCAGTGCACAGTGGATTTTTTTCTTTTTTTTCATAATAAATGTGCCAAGGACGATTAAGAGCAATAGTGGAAATAAGGTTCTAAGTGTATTTTGCAGCAGGGTAGGTTTGAGAATGCCTCAATTACCTGTCAAATCAAACAGTAGGTGAATTTTTTTTTTTAGTTATCTAGATTCCTTCTTCATTTTTTTTTAAAATACATTTGTGTACATGCATGCATACCTTTCTTCCAGAATGGTAATCAGAATGGGGAAGATATTTTACTCTGCACATGGAAGACGTGCATATTCTGCTATTCTTTCTGTTCCAGATTGCTTTCTGGCTTCATTCCTGTGTGCAAGCAGGGAATTCAGTGTATGAGAATTTACTAAATGTCAGTCTGCTACAGGAGGTGCTAAAATTTGGTATGGTTGCTGTCCCATCTGTGCATGGAAATTAAGCCCAATGCTTCTAATGATACCACTGGGATGAGTCTTTTTAATGTACTGCTGATTTAATTTTGGAAATGCGGTGGTCTACTAGTGCTAGGAATTATGTAAATTAATAGCTAATTAATACCACTAGACTGGTGAAAACTCAAATCCCAACAGGTCAACAAGTCATCAGTTCACACCTAATTCAAATAAGCAGTAAGTCAAAATCAGTTGCAAACAAGCAAACCGTGCAACAGGATTTGGATGAATTGTTAATGCTCCTCTTTTTGTAGTTGTGGTTGTACGAACAAGAAGTTCCTTACAGTTAGAACCATCAGTCTAGTTGTAGAGGAAAGATTGGTTTTAATATGAAGCAGTGAAGTAAGGAACTTTTTCTTAGAGGTATGTACAGTAATACCCACTTGCAGAGTGATGATAATTTTTTTGTAGCTTGTGTGTGATAGCTGCATATCCTTGCAAAAATGCCCCTAGCACAAGGGGATGAGAATGGGGCTTGGCTGGTTGTTTTGTTTGTGTGAGAGAGGATGCTCGAACTTGGCTTTCTTTTACCATCACTTAATTTTCACCATCTCTGCTACCACAGTCAGTGATTTTTCATATCACAGCTCATTAATAAATAGTTCTGACAAAGATACACTGAGTTATGGTAAATTCTACTAGAATTCTAAATTCTACTACGCAATCTACTTTTGCTTTGAACTGTTTTGAACATTGTGTGCCTCTCATGTTTATCTTCTTTCAGGTGATGATATTTGAGCTTGCAGACCACATACAGTCATTCCTCAGTGAGTATAATAAACCACCTTCCAAGTCCTTTCATGAAGAAATGCTAAAAAATCATCAAAAGGAACAAGAAAGACTGGCGCAGGAGGAGCTGCGTAGGGTACAAGAAGTTAAGAGAAGAGAGGAACAGGAGGTAAGAGAGAAGAAACCTGTGTTCTTAAAATAACAAACTCATGATATTGTAAATCATCCCTTCGTATAATACCTTATTGACAGTAAATCTGTATTTTAGTAAATTATTAGGCTGTTGCGTCTGTCATTCTCAGTTGATCAATGAGTACCATATGAACTCTTTGCTGCTACTTTTACAGGTATATATTTAACTCTCAGAAGACTGAAAGAAACTTAAATGTTGATTATTTACCTTATGAAAACTATTCATGTACTTTTCTTTTTGGCTAAGGCTCTATTCTCCTATATCACACAGTTGTTACTGTTTCTCCAGCTTACTGAGGAGAGCTAATTTGACTTCACTTTGTTTTTGTTCTGAGATATGTAGATCCTCTTCAACACTTCTCAGTATCCTGGCTTTCTTTCACAGAATAAAATCAACAGTTGCATTGAATATACTGTGGTGTGTCAAATAACACTGAAATTCTTTTCAGCAACGTGAAATCCTTGATGAGATTCAGAGAAGGGAAGAAGAGAAAAGAGAAGAAAGGAAAAAGAAAGAGATTGCCAAACAGGTATTGTTTTAAGCAAGAGGACAAAACCATTGCAATAACTTTTTTTCCCTTCCTTTCTGCTCAGTACTGTGGTACATGCTTATGAAAATTGGGGAAAATTCTACAACTAAATTGTTCTAGACATCTTTTTCTCATCCAGTATTTCTAATAGGTCTAGAGTTAGGAAGTGCTCTTTTTTCTTGATTATATGTGAGCTATTTCTGAAAGAAAATCGAGTGTGGGGCATATTCATATGTCAGCATCTTCTCAGTGTATCGAGATGGGTATTTTCAAATAGACTCTAAATAAAGCTGATGATGTGTTTCCAGTTCCAGTAAAGCATCCTTATGTTCTTACATGTATACCATGCTGAAATACATTTCTTGAATCTCAGTGCTTTTCTATTTTATGCACCTTTGTTATGAAAACTGTTATTTCTGTTTTATGAATGATAACTTTATATGATAGTTGAAATGTCATCCATATGTATTGAGAGTAGGAACAGCTTCTTTATTTACTGATTGTTCCTTTTCTGATTCATAGGAACGTCTGGAAATAGTTTCTCTGACAAGTCAAGAGAATTGCCACAGGAGAGAGACTACAGGGTACAAAGTTGCTCCCAGTTTAAATGGGGGCTGTTTGGAGCACGGAGGGAACAATAAACACCGTCCAACTTCAACTGGACGTTCCAAGTTAGTATTTTTCTTTGACAAGCGTTAGATTTTAAAGTGAAATTTAAGGCGAGGAAGTAACATACTGTATTCCTGTATTATTCTTTTTTTTTTTCCTCTATCTATCTTCAGTTGGCAGTGCATGAGAAATTCATGTGTGTGGCAGGGGTAAATAAAACTTTTCCCAATTGAAAGACAGAGTAGCTCTCAGTTTACCTTAGGAAGTATTTGCCAACCATTAGAAAAATGTAGTTTTCTTAATTTCTTAGAAGTGTGTGATACGTTGGCAGTTCCAGATAAAATTCATTTTGTTTTCACTAATGAAGGATTTAGAATAGTGCGCAAAATGGAAGCTTACACTTGTCTCAAAGATCTCCTGTAAGGATAGAGTGTTGTAACATTCCCTTGCAGAGAATCAGCTTACGCTGATCACACAGACAAAGCAGGTCTTAGAGTTACTAGAGAGTTCTTGGGCTGATGCATAACTCGTTTAAAGTAGGATTTCTGACGGTGTAGATAGGCACTAACGAGATTTTGAATGTTTTATTTTCAGTTTCTAAGCACCAGTGGAGTATCTTTGGATGTAAAACAATTAGAAAACTGTCATCTAGTTCGTGGTAGTTTCGCTGACTGTCTTAAATTTTATTTCTCTCTGCTTTATAAGGTGGTTTTTCAATATTAGAAGGAAAGATGACATAGCTACCTGGGAAAGGCTGGAAAAGAGATTATTTTAGCCAACTGTATGCTCCATTTTGTGCCTGTCTCTGCTTTTCAATGTGTTGTATAGAAGTGAAGATTTAAAGCATTATTCCAGGAAGACACTTCTTTGAAATAGACCATGTATTAATTACTTGTTTCAGCAGCTGTGATTGCTATGGCTGACAATTACTTCTGATTATTTTAGATTCTAATCATTTCATTTATAAAATATATTTGAATTTAGAAAGCCAGATGCATTTTTGTAGAATTTTCTTTATAGAGCACTTGTCAGAAGTTCAAGTGGCATCTCTTTTGTACATCTTTTTTTTTCCTTTTTGTTTTTTTAATAAATTCAGTATTTTGAAAAAGCTTCTAGATTACCCTACATGTATTCATGTCATCTCTTCATCTGATTGCATTTATTTGGCAAGTTGACTCTCTAATGCAGGTGTTTTTATTAATACTGAAGTAGATTATACTCAGAAGTAACAGAGGTTGATTTAGGTTAGTGGTCTTAATTTCTTTCTAATCTCATATGCAGCTTTGTAAGTGCATGGAAACAGAAACACTCAGTCATACTTGCTCTGAAAGTGTTTTCTAAATGCCAGGTACAATGTAGTGAAACATATTACTTAGGATTTTTTTTAAATATGCAGTTGAGTAGAACAGTCTCTGTCAGAAATTACCATTCATATTTCTATTAATGCTATAGAGAAGAGCTGAAATTTGTTAAAAGATTTTTAGCTTAGATTAAAAATTCCTCAAATGTCTCCCTTCATGCAGAGAAATCGAGTTAGACCATGCAGTTAGTTCATGCAATTAGAAATCAAGTTGGCAGAAGCTTTTGAGTGTGAGTTTCTAAGACTCCAAGCCCAGTAGAATTTAAAAAAAAGTGTATATGTTTTCTGTTTTCTTTAGGAAATACACAGCATTCTGTAATTCTTTAGGTTTGGAACTTTCCTTTTCTTTTAGTTCAAACAAAATTTTCATTTTTCTTGAAGATTGAATATAGAAGAGCAAAGGACGCAAATGGAAAACCCATACTGAGTCAGGAAAAATAATAAAGCTGAAGCTGGGACTAACTTTATAAAGAGCATATATTTTCTTTTGTAATGTTTTGAAAGGTAATGCAAATCAGATAAATTTTATTTATTTTTCAGAACCATAGTGTGTTTACTTTTTTTTTTGATTGGAACTGTGAACCCAAAAAGCAGAAGCATTAAGCCCTGGATTCAACTTTTTGTTGAGAAGGCTGTAAATGCAGGCTCCCTGTGCAATATAGTGCTGTTGCTACAATGCTAGATTTGTAACCAGACTTGTATGTTTGTACTAGCTCTGTAGCTTTGAAATTAGTAGCTCTGTATCTTTGAAATTAGTAGATTTACCATTTGGTGAAGAGGTCTTTGCAAGCTGATTCTATTGCCAAAGTGCTATTTTTGGTTAATGGTTGAGTAGCATTTTGAGCCTGGGAATAAAAATGTTCTGTTCCCATTGCAGGCGAGAACGGCATCTTTCTCATGGTAATAATGAAGAGTCCCCTGGAAATTTTGAAGTTTTGAACTTCAGTACCAGTGGTGCTGGGCAACTTATTGTCCATAAAGGAAAATGTATAGGTAAGCAGAATACTAATTGCAACTGTGGCTGGTTCTTTTTGTTTGTTTGTTTGTTTTTCTTTCTCCTTGTTTGTTTGTGAGGGAGCTGTAGTGCTTAATAGTAGTGCTTGCAGTGCTTACATAAATGCATATTTATTGTCTTACCCAACGGAGGCAAGTCACACCTCAAAAATTTTAGACAATGTGAAGAGGTACAAAAACAACAAGGCTGGAGAGAAGACTGTTGTGGCATACAAGATGTCCCAGTAAAGAGTGAGAGAGGGTAATTAAAAAGGTAGTTTGTGACTTTTTTTTTTAATTTTTTTTAGTTGGCTTCTCCAGATAAAATTATTTAACTGACTGCCACTACCCTACAACAAATCTTTTCAACATTTTATATTCTATACATAACTAAATACTGAGAATCATTTGCTTTCACATTTAAATAGCTGGCTTGTCAGATACACTTTGCAACCAGGCAAGAAACCACTGAGCTGTCAGTAACGTGGATGAAACCAGTGAAAAGCACAGGGCTAGAAAGCACCATTGTTGCTGATAGCAGTGGGATTAAAGCAGCAGTTTTCTCTAAAGCTTAAGCATAGTCAAGGGTAGGAGACTTTCAGAGCTAATTAGGAATAAAAGGCCTCCCTGAAGTGCCTGTTTGAATGAACGATCAAGTATTTTTAAGCCTAGGCCTTCCCCAGTGGAAATGGGCAGCCTGAAAGTCTCTGGGGCAAAAAGAATTTTAATATTTTACAATTCAAGGAATATCTACTATGCTACTCAATGTACAGTTCGGTATTTGCTCAACAGGAGAAGCATAGGTTATTGAAATCTGTTTTTTTAATATATATGCATCAATTTATGCCAATTCACTACTGTTTTCAGGATTTTCCTTTGGTTGTTGCTAGTATTGTGTTTATGTAACATTCAGTTTGATCAGAGCAGACATTTTGCATACCGTAATTATGAACATAGTTTCATAATTTTGTGTTTCTAGAGTTGCAGAAAACAGACTTACTGGTGTTTCTTGAGCATTTGTTAGAGTTTTGCCAAGCCCTTAGAGGGAAGGGGGACACAGCTGTTTCTTTTCTAATCTCCTTGTATAGGCAAAGATGAACAACTTGGTAAATCGGTCTACAATGGCTTGGAAATTCGCAGCGGAGAATTTGTGTTAGTATATGAGTGGGTTCTGCAATGGCAAAAAAAGATGGGAAAATTTCTTACAACACACGAAATAGAAAAAATTGAGAAGTCTAAAAAACAGGTAACATTTTGGGGTTTTTTTTATAAGCTTTAGGTGGTTTCCTGTGCTTTTCTTGTGGCTGTTAATATATATTGAACTTGAGGGGGTGGTAATGATGAGACTGAAAATGTCAGTGTTAGAGTAGTTCTGTTACACAGAAGAGGGGTGTGTTGGGGTCTTCAGGGGTTTGTCTACAAGAATATAAATATGAGAAGGTGTATTTGCAAGTATGCATAAATGAAGTATTAAAATATTAAATAAAAATCTGAAGGAAGACGACTTAAAGCTTATCTTGAAAAAGCAGAAGTTCTTGTCACATGTCCATAATGTCTCCTTTTCAAGTAAGAATGAGATTGTCACATATTCTAGCTCTATTTTGTGTATGTTACGTATTTTAGCAATGGCATGTTCATGAATCTTGACATCTAACATATGTTGTGTTCCTCTAACAGCTCCAGGGTGCCGAAACAGAGTTCAGCTCCCTGACGAAGCTCAGTCACCCCAACATCGTACATTATAAATGTATGAACCTTAAAGAGCAGGATGATTCCATTGTGGTGGACATTTTAACGGAGCACATAAGTGGCTGCAGCCTTTCCACGTACTTGTGCAAAGAGACCCCGCTTCCCACTGAGCAGCTGCGCCATTACGTGACCCAGATTCTGTCCGCTCTCGACTACTTGCACAGTAACTCGGTGGTGCACAAAGTTCTTTCTGCCTCCAGTATTTTGGTAGATGCTGAAGGAAGCATCAAAGTGACAGATTACAGCATTTCCAAGCGCCTCGCTGATATCTGCAAAGCAGATGTTTTTGAACAAACGAAAGTTCGTTTTAGTGAAGATGCTCTTCCCTACAAACCTGGAAAAAAAGGAGATGTGTGGAGTCTGGGCTTGCTTTTGCTCTCTCTCAGCCAGGGCCAAGTAACCAGGGAATATCCAGTTACTGTTCCGAGCAGTTTACCTGCTGACTTCCAAGACTTTCTGGAAAAGTAGGTTTGTTGTGTTCCTGTATCTTTTCCCCCTCGATTACTAAAAGAAAAGACTTTCTTCTTTTGAAAGAACACCTAGATCCCCCAGTGTCAGTAGTCCATAATTTTTAGGGAAGAAGTGCTCACTCCGGGCTTGGGCTGCTAACCTGGTACTCTCTTCTGCTCTGCCCTATTGCTACCTTTCTGTCTCTGTGGAGAAGTTGTTTAGTGTTACTTTGCCTCTGATTCCTGTGTGAATGTTGAAGGTGATAATTTCTTAAAAAGTATTTGGAATATTTAGGCCTGATTTGGAATAGTTCTTTGAAAAGTTCTCGGTTTTTGCACAGATGTGTTTGCTTGGAAGATAAGGAAAGATGGACTCCTCAGCAGTTGTTACAACACAGTTTTATAAACCTTCCACGAATGAAGACACCAATAGCAGAAGAAAATGCAGATGGTAAGGACCTCTGTTCTCTCTGTGTTTTGCTGCATACGCAGTTGCAGAAGATCTGACCTGTGCTAGAGCATCACATGTCTGTGCTTGTGCAAGTGCCTTACATTAACCTGGGAGTTACAGAGCGTCTCACCTTGGAGTCCTTGATTTGCTGTGGGGGACTGACTGCCCTTGTGTCGTCAGTAGAGGAAGCTGATGTTTAGTTAAGCCTAAAAACACCCGCTTCTTGCACAGTTTAAGTGTCAGCTTTACTTTCTCCTGTGGCAGATTCTGTTCCAGTGAAACCTCTTTCCTTGGTATGTTCTTGTTAGAATTGCTTCCTTTGCCCAATATAATATCTTAGTAATCGAAAGCTGTGTTAAGGTTATATTTCTACCCAGGCTTAATGCCACTCAACAGTGCTTCTGTATTTTAGGTTTTAGCTGTCCTTGAATACAGCTCCTCTTTTCTAGGATTTGCCTTCTTCGTAATGCCTGTTTAACATTTTCTTGTGCTTCACCTCCACCCCATGCAGCCAGTGGTGGTAATTTTGGTGTCCTTATTTCAGACTCCGCAGGAATTGATTGTATTGAGACAGTTGTGCCCAGCAATCAGATCTCCAGTGCTTCATTCTTCACAGAAACACAGAAGCAATTTTCACGTTACTACAATGAGTTTGAAGAGTTAAAATTACTTGGCAAAGGGGCTTTTGGAGCTGTCATTAAGGTATAGCAAAAAGTTAATTCCTAAAATATAAAATCTTCTTTTTTTAGAGCATGCCTTTGTTTCCTCTGAAGCAAAACGATGTATTCAATGTGTGCTTGGCTTCATTATTATTTTCTAGTGCTATGTTCCTGTTCCCAGCTTGGTATCTGGGATTGAACAGGCTGAAAGGTTTTGTGGGAGGTAATCTGTGGAGAGGCCTGTCAGTACAGGGGAGCTTGCATTTCAATTACAATCGCTTTCCAAGTGGAAGGAAAACTTCCTTCTTTAAGGAAGTCATTCTGCCATGTTCTGCTGGCTCCTCTTGGTAAGGCATGTTAAGAATTTGACTTCAGGTTTATCTTTGCAGGTGCAAAACAAGCTTGACGGCTGCTATTACGCAGTGAAACGTATCCGCATAAACCCCGCCAGCAAGCAGTTCCGGAGGATTAAGGGGGAGGTGACGCTGCTCTCCCGCCTGAACCACGAGAACATTGTGAGGTACTACAACGCCTGGATAGAGAAGCACGAGAGCCCCATGCACCGTGCGTCGTCCTCTGAGGCCCCGGAAGAGAAAAGACTGCCCACCAAGGCAGACCCTTTCATCCTTCCCAGTGAGGAGACAAATGACGTGGAAGCCAATGCTCCGCCTCCTGTTCTGACCAGTTCGGTGGAGTGGAGTACTTCTTGTGAGAGGTCCTCCAGCAACAAATTCAGTGGAGCTGACCAGGAGTCCAGTGATGATGATGATGATGATGATGATGATGGTGACGGTGTGTTCTCACATTCCTTTCTGTAAGTAAGCCTCGAGATTGGCACTAGAAAGAACAGGAGGACCGTTGGTTATTCCAAGTTTGTGCCTTTTGTCATTCTCATTTCCTTTGTTGAAGAACATTCACTGCATTTTCGTTTTGCCCTTGGATACAGGAGCATTGTGTTCGCCAGTAGTCAGGTAGCCAGGAGTAGGGGATATTTGTCATTTAAAGCTGACACGTAAAAAGAAAACTTTGTTTTAGACTTCCAGAAGTTTCACACCTTTCATTTCAGAATGCATGGCTACTCAGTTCTGCTATGCTTTAGTAATCATTTAATTACCAGTAACAAAGAAATATATAAAATCCTGCAAAATACTTACATTTTGTTTTCACTGCTGTGATACTATTACTAATGCATTTCACATCACCCTTTGTGTTTGGGATGATTCTTTTGCTTGCAGTGCTTTTTATGCACTGCAATTGTAGTAAACATATCTCGATTTCACTTATTAAATGCAGAAATTGAATTACACTGCTGCAAATGCTTTTTCTCTTGAAGAAACAGATGTGTCGGAGGAAAAGTTTTGCTCAGCTGTGCAAACAAGATACTTTTTATTAGATGTAGAAATCTTGAGCAGAAGCTTAGCTTTTTTTTCAGCACAGGTTCTTCAGTTTTTCCTGTTATTGTTTCTTGGTAATAATTATTTAAAGAATACCAAAACTTTTGATTTTATCTTTTTTCAAACAGGCCAACCACAGATTCTGAAAGTGAAATAGTCTTTGATAATGAGGATGAAAACAGTAAAGGCCATCCTCCAGTAAGTATAAAGTTAAAGCTTTTGATAATGTATAGATAATAAATCAGTTTTTTATAAACAGGTCATTTTGGACATTTTATTTGACTTTTATGGCAAATATAGAACCATTTAGGGTATGTTCCATCAGAACAAATGCCATGCCACATGATGGACTGCATACCATAAAATTAAAGAGTCTGATATAGATAATGTGGACTCTGTTTCTCTTGGTGTTTGTTGAGCTAAATGCGAATCTCATTTTATAGTCATGAGCCTGATTCTTGCAAGTTTAAGACTTAAGATTCCTGTTTTGCTGAACTTGCTAGCAAAAGTCAGTGCACTGTATTGCTGGGGAGCTGATGCCATTTTCTACAGCATATAGATTCTATCACAAGCAATCCTCATGATTTATAAGGTGCTTAATTGTCTTAATGCTTGGTCTCCTTCCTCTTTATGTTGAAGCATATGTTGGCATCACAAGGCTTTCAGTATCTCACTTGATAAGATGGCAGAAACAAAATCCAGGGCAGTTTGTTTTCCTGGATAGGAAGCGGAAGGATTTATATGCTACATCTTAAGATTTATATGCTATCTTTTTTGCCTTATTACTTTACAAAGGATGTTATATGTATTTTGTTTTCTCCATATTTTAATGTGATAGGTTCTGAGGTTTCGATTTCCTTCAGAGCTTCTGTAGTATTTTGTTTGCAGTGTCTAGTTATAGCAAACTGTTATTAATTATTACTTTGGAAGGGAGAGTTGGGTCATGTTGGTTTTTATAGAGGATCTAGAAGCAGTGATATTACAAAAATACTAATACATTGCTATACTTTTATTAAGAGACAGCCTTAGGTGGTCAGTTCACATGAATGTGTTTCAGACAATAAAAAATGATAGTGTGCATAAAAACCCTTGGACTGCTTCCTGTAGCTACCTGTTCTGTTACTTTCACTGTGATAAAGGATGAAGAGTGTAATGAAAAGAATGGCAATGGAGAAGAAGACAAGCCACCAGTGATACAGACGGTGCATTACCTGTACATCCAGGTGAGGCTGCTCCTGATTGCAGAAACCAGCAGTGCTGTTTCATCTCACCTGTCTCTATGTCATTTGAGAAAATCAATGACATTTCACAAAGTGAGGCCCAAGTCCAGTGTTCATTTTGCCCTAGATGTATTTTGGAGTGTTTCCTGGCCGTGGTCTGAGGCCTCTCTGAGAGGAAGGAGGACGTGGGGGTGCCCAGGGCCTTCCTGGGGCTCTGGATCAACGCGCCAGGGATGGGAACGACCTGTTCCCACCAGCAGTGGGACAGGGGAACAGGGTCACTACACTTCTCTTTCTGCTGGACCAACCAAATTTGGCAGCCCTTGGCCCACATTAGACCAAGCAGGGACTAGGTGGAACATCGTAACATAAGCATCATAATAAGCCTGGTTGCAGGTGTTAAGCATGCCCATGGTAGAGGTTGTTAAGGAGCCTCTTAAGTAAAATAACACCAGAGATGCCTTAAAAGCTGGTATAGACACTGTGCTTAGACTGATTTCCTCTCGTTTCTAGCGCTGATGTTGGAGAATATGCTGCTTTACAAGCTAATTCCAGAAAATGGGATAATATCCATGGGCTTTTCATTTTAGTTAAAACAGATCTCTCAGAACACTCTGGGCAACCGAACATTTTGGTGGTATTAGTTGCTCCTGAATTGTGTATTAGAAGAAGCAAGCATTAATGTGCTTGCACGTATACATTTCTAATAGTCTTTTTTAAAATTATTGCTTTTTCTTCTGCTCTGGCCCTCTCCATGCACAACTGAAGATGGAGTATTGTGAAAAGAGCACATTAAGAGATACTATTGATCAAGGTTTATATGAAGATACTAGTCGACTTTGGAGACTTTTCCGAGAAATTTTGGATGGGTTGGCTTATATTCACGAAAAGGTTAGTAAGTATGACCGTTATAATATCTCCATAATAGACACTTCCTGCCTTCTTCTGTATTGCTTCTTGTTCTGCTCGTTTTTGACTCTTTGATCACATAACTGTATATAAGCAAGGTTTGTTGCTTACCCATTGCATTATAACTCTGTCACAGGGTTTCAGAAAATCCTGTTGTAAACTTGAATTTGGTAATGAATCACTTTAGATTTTTTCTCTCTTGTCGTCAAAAAAAATCTCGATTAAAAATGGTGTGTTAGGTAATTTTTACGACTGAAAACAGCTTCTAGCTTCTGAGCTACAAGCTACAGTCTTGTTTTAAAGATAATTATTAGTGACTTAATGCAATAGTTTTCCACTGCCTGAAATAATAATATGATCTGTAATACTGTTCTCTAGCCTGTTTATAGAGAGTCTCTTTTAGAGAGTTTTATTTTGAATTGTGTTTGTTTTGCCTCATATTCCATAGACCCTTTATGTTTTGTTTTTTTCTTCTCCTGCTATAACAGGGAATGATCCACAGAGATTTGAAACCTGTGAACATTTTTTTAGATTCTGATGATCATGTGAAAATTGGTGATTTTGGTTTAGCCACAGATCATCCAGCAAATGCGGTGAGTACATGTACAAGTGAATGAAAAAAATCTAGTGTTGTAATAACACGAATAAATGAAATAAAAAATAATGTTCATCAGACTGTATTGTGAATAACACTTTTTTTTCCCCCTAAGACTCCAGAATTAATCCTTGTTTTGTGAAATAAAACAGCAGGAAAAGCCATCAGAAACGATTCAAATGACATTTATAAGATAGCCTTTTTTTTTCCCCTAATTTCAGGCTGTCTCTAAACGAGAAGAAAATCATTCGGATAATTGTGCTAAGTCTGACCCATCAGGTTAGTATATATAAAGCTTGTTATGACTCATTTTAAGCAGTGTTATGTGTGACAGTCTTGTGTACTCTGTTACTGAGAATATTTCCATTCATCTTTGAAAATAGAAACCTAATTCCTTGAGATTCTCTCTTTTGGTGTTTTTTTTTTTTTTTTTTTTTTTTTCCCTGAGAGTGAAAAAAAAAATCTTGGCATATGTAGCATATATAATCTGGTGGTGGTGATGGCTACACCTCAAAATGAATTTGCTTCTGCTCTTGGCTTCTGCACTAACCCAGGCCTTTACCCATGGTGAGATGTAGAGGTTCTCTCTGCAGTCCCTTTGCCTGCCCTTCTGCTCTCTTGTGTGAACAGGACAACTTCAAGGTTTTGTTTGTTTTGTTTTTTGATACTTTCTATAATAGACTAGATATTGTATTTTGAGGAAAAGGACAATATATTCTATGTCTTAATGTGAGTGTAATGAAAGTGAAATCTGGTGTCATTGTGTACTGACAGACAAAAAGTCTGTAAAATTATACAAGCAGGTACTTGGCATGCAAAGGTAAGAGCTGTCTGCTTGGCAAACTGTGGAGGAATAGCTGGATATCCCGCTCAGGACTGCATTGCTGTCTGAAGGAAATGAGAACAAAAGCTACTGGGCTTCCCTGAATTTGATAATGCTTCCTTGCTGCTTTCCTGAAACTAATACTCTTACTTCTTGCCATTTAGGTAGCTTGACAGGGATGGTTGGTACCGCACTGTATGTCAGTCCAGAGGTCCAAGGAAACACTAAATCTACGTATAATCAGGTATAATTAAGTAGACCTAATAAAATGGCAGCATGTGATGAATTCACAGCAGGAAAATGGTTTGACTTTTGAGATGAGCAAGGGAAGGAGAACTTTTTCTTGGGGAGGATACTGAGAGTGCAAGGATGTGGGCAGACAGTTCATCTGCTGTGCTGCGACCATGGTGAAGTTGGGGGCGGATAATCGTGGATGACCTTTATGAATGAACAGAGTGGGAATGTTACAGTTTGTTGAGGACTTAAAGTAAAATGTCGTTAGCAGAAGTGTATCTTGCTCTCCTGTATTCCCAGTGTGATATTGAGGGATTTGGGAGTGGGGATGCATTCTTTATCCTTAAAGAGAATTCTGTTTGTGTGCAGAGACAAGATACATCTCCAAGCAGTGATTTTTTTCAAAGGAAAACTTAGCGGTTTTTTTTTTTCATGGATATGTGGCAAGATGGAAGGCATTGAAGATTATCAGGTCTTAAGAGAATGTTTCATATAACAAAAATTATGTTGCAGTTTGGATGTATAGGGTTTGAAGCCCAAACTTCTTAGGTGTTAATACATTATGAAATTTAATCAAAGCATTATTGTTCTTCTACTGGCAGAAAATTCCCGGGTATTGCATTTAGGTTTTCATTTTTTCTTCCTTAGAAAGTGGACCTGTTCAGCCTGGGGATAATATTCTTTGAAATGTCCTACCACCCCATGACTACTGCATCAGAAAGAATATTTGTTCTTAGTCAACTAAGACTAGTAAGTACACAGAGAGAGCGGATGCACACGTCCAACAGTTTGAGCAAGAAAATATGGAAAGCCAAGCAAAGGACCTTAAAAAAAACATTAAAACAAAGTTTGTTTTGTAACAGAAGAGAAGAATAAAATTAGAGCTGCTAGTGGCATCTGTCTTATGCACTGTGTAATTCCTAATGATATTACACCAATCTGTGCTTGCCCCAGTGTCAGTGAAAGTTTATAGTGCTAAATGTCAGAGGTCTAAACATTAGATAAAGAGAACGTGAGTTTAGTACAGCTGGGTTCAGACCTTTTGGGTCTTGATCAGGAACAAGTTGGTAGAGTTTAATTTTACTTCTTAAATGTCTTTGGGTTTGGATTGTTTCTTACTTAATTTGATAAAACTTCATAAAAGCATTTCAGCTACATTTTTTTTCTTGCTGTTAGCTCTTCAAAATAAATCTACCGTGTGGATTTTATTTTTCCTGTGGGCTATAAAAATGCCTGGTCTCACTGCTTAAAGCTGAAGGACTTGAAAATAAGACTAGCCTGCACAAGCTGGATGCCTGTTCTAATTCAAACATATTTCTTCTTTTATAGCCTACTATTGTATTTCCAGAAGACTTTGATGAAGTAAAGCATGCAAAGCAGGTAATTTTGAGGACATTTTAACTATTAGGTATTCCCTATCAAGAAATGTTTGTTATCATTTTTCCCCCACTTAACTTGAAACTAGTAATCTCTGCCAATTTACTATTGGCATTACATGGCATTAGAACAAATGTAAAAAAAAATTCTCAAAAGAATAAAGGAAGTGAAGTTACCACTACCCACAGAGTTCCATGAGCAGAGAAATACTATGTTTAGTCACAAAGCTTTTTAAGTTCTAAGTGTCAACTTTGACTCACTGGTCAGGTAAATTGTTGCTGTGATTTAACTCTGCTTTAATCTTTTGAAGGGGTCTGTGTCACAGAGCAAATAGTATGCAAGTTAAAATGGCTACTCTGAGGCAATTGAGACAGCCAGAACACAGTGGATTTGAATGTATTTTCCTTTTTTTTTAATCTCATTTTATTGAGTCAGGCCTCCATGACTCAGGGATGAAGTGGTGATATTGTTCACCAGAGATGATACTGCTCTATATCATTGGGAGAAATGTTTTTCTTAAACAAGTGGACTCCCTTGTTGGTCAGTAACATCAGCCTTTTGTCTGTTTTGCCTGAGAAACCAGCAATCTGGTTCTTGTTAGTAGCATAAAATGTTTCCATCTTGTACAGTTTACCAGAATATGTATAATGTCTTTTTGAATGCTTGTCAAATGGAACTTTCATCATCCAGGAAAATTCCCACTTCTTGAATACACATAAACCTTTGCTGTTATGCGTAAGATTGTCTTCTCTTTGTTAATAAAGAGATGGCAGAACTAGCATAGCAGAACAACAGACAGACACGGCCTATTCTGTGTCGCTCCAGCGACACCAATCCGAGTTCCGGGTTGGTTTGTTTTTAGCTGTAGTCTTACAATGTTATTAACGCAGCACGGCTAAGGTTGTGGCTGTAAAGGCTGCCGCCATTAAGGGACGCGTGCGCGCTTGTGGCTTCCCCCGCAGCGGCTGGTGATCGCGTGGCTGCTGACGCACGACCCGGCGGCGCGGCCCAGCGCCGTGGAGCTGCTGAGGAGCGAGCACCTGCCGCCGCCGCAGCTCGAGGAGTCCGAGCTGCACGAGGTGCTGCACCACACGCTGGCCAACGTGCACGGCAAGGCCTTCCGCACCATGCTCACCCGCATATTCGCCCAGCGCGTCTCCCCCGCCATCGACTACACCTATGACAGCGATATGCTCAAGGTCTGCGGGTGCTTTTGCCTCTTGGGGGGGTTGAAAGGTGTTTGTGAGTAAGATGCACTCATGTTTTCCACAATGGCCTTGCCTCTGAGTTTCCTCTTACCAGTTACAACCGCAAATCCAGGCCAAGTGCTCTTGAATACCCTTTCTCTATTTAAACTTTAATCCTTCAGTGAAGAAATAAGCAATGATTGATTGTAGCAGCAAAGCTCCAAACTTATATGCACACAATTACTTTTCTACTTTTAATCTCTATCAAATTAATAGTACTTGCACTTGACTCCCATCCTAATGGCTTTGGCTTCGACTGGTTTCTGACTTTTAAATGTTGGCAATTAAAATATTCCTTTACTATTTCTGAACCGTTAAAACTTTCTAAATATAAAAAAAATACAAGTTAACATAGTAGAATAATGTGTTGCATAGCTGTAATTATTATTTATTATGAGAGTATTACAATTTACTGTAGTGGGAGAGGCTAGCAGAATGCTTATTACCTACATGACGTACAATGTTCATGGCATATGAATTACATATGTACTTTTTATTTGTGATGGTTTCAGGGTAGTTTTTCTATTTGGGCAGCCAAGATACAGCAGCATGTATGTGAGAGTGTCAGCCGGATTTTTAAAAGACACGGTGGGTTTATTTACCAAAGTTGCTTGTTTCTTTTTCTCGTGATTGAATGTATTTTGGAGAATGACCTGGCTTTGCTGCTGTCATATGGGTTGCAAAGTGTGTTCAACAGTAGTTGCATTGAATTTGAGCCTTAAAATTAGGTGTTGCTCTTATTCTCACTTTGTCGTAATAGTTGTCAGCTTCAAATCTCAATGACTTAAATTCTCCATAGAAAGAACAGTGAAAATATGATGTCCTTTGGCTGTTTTCGGTTGTACTGATTAGCTTGTAGGAAGTGCTACATCAAACCCAGATAGGAATGTAAGAACGGCCCTCCAGCGAGAGACCAGGCATCTGTCTAGTGCAGTAACTTCCCTCTGACTGCAGCCACAATGTGCTGGCCTAAGAAAGAGTATTAAAAAGAATATTTATTAAAAATATTTTTAAAGTCAGAGGCTGTGTAGTGGGGGTTTCATTGACTCTACTCTTAACCATGATTTGCTCTTCTGAATTTCCTCACCGTAGCTGGTGTCGGGATGTTTAATAGTGTGAGACAGATAAACTTTCCATTACGTTACCTGATCGTTAGTAATAGTATTTGCTGAAGGTTAGTTTTTAAGAATAAAAGAAAATTTATTCACATATTGACTCACTGAAAATGTTTCAATCACTTTATAGTGGTTTATTATATTATTTTCTGAAAAAAATGCTTAAAATAGAAATGGGCAGTTTTCCTAATATATCATAATCTGATTTAAAATGACAGGATTTTGCAGTACAGAAGAATGAGAAACTAGGAAATACAAAAACAAACAAGAAGTATTTTTTTCTATCTCTGTATTTAAAGTCTGTCAAACTTTGGAAATCATTTGTCTGCAGTTCAGAAGAAATTGAAATATTTTCACTCAGCTTCTTGGAAAGCTTGGCAAAAAGTGGAGGAGAATTGTGGAATATCTTCTTTCCAATAAACAATCTGATTTGAGATTACCATTTCCTTACTTAAGGGGCTTATTCTTCCTCCTCTTTTAAAAACTGAAAAAATGTTGAAACCCAGTTGGAGACATCTTACAATAAAGGAGCCGGTTGGGGATCAGTAAGGAATATATCTTTTCAATAATTAAATATGTTATTGTTTATAATAAGGCTGTCATGAAGATTTATTATGATCTGTCCGTATGAATACAAGTACAGCAAACACTCTTTTTGTCAGAAAAGAAATGGTGACTTGGTGAAGTTTTACAGTGAACCATAAACCACTTACAGTGCCTTTCGAGAGGGGAGAGCCAGGAGCTTGGTGTTCCCTGGTACTGGGATGACACGTAATCTCCAGAGCAGCGCCTTTAGATTGAAGCAGTACTTCAGGGTATCCTCATAGTTTTTTGCCTGTTCCTTGGGTGTGCCTTTGTGAAAGATGGTGTCGGAGTAGGGAGGCAGGTTCTGCCATGCTTGGAATTTGCAGGTCTCCTCTCTTTCTGTGAGGGCTCCTGTGACTTCCAAGACATGGGCAAGACCAAACATCAGCAGATGATGCTTTCTTCAGTAGACTTTCTTCCACTGTTTAAAGACATTCAAAACAATGTGTATTATTTGAGATTGTTCTCTCTGGTTGTTTATGAGCTTGTAAAAAGCAGATGCTATTTCTGAAACTCGGGGGTAATAGTATTTTGTCATCTTTGCGTAGGAGCCATCAAGCTGCATACTCCGCTGCTAATGCCTAGAAATAAAAAACTCTATGAACATAATGACGCTTCATATTTCATGGATCACAGTGGGATGCTGGTTATGCTTCCATACGACCTCAGAGTGAGTAGTATCTTCCCTGCGGGCAAAGCTGGGGGTGGAGAATTGTGGTGGTTGTTGATGCTTTTGATTAACCAGGTAAAATACTGGTTTAAGCTTCTACTTACACGCTGAAGCGGTGGCTCTGTCAGGCCTGCTCCTGTTTTCCCTAGTGCTGTTGTTGGTAGTTGTTGTCTCCTAAGGAAAAAATAAATAAATGCCATATTATAAATGCAGTAGATGTCACTGCTGCTGTTCTTCTTGCATATATAAGGTCCTTTTCCTTGCGCAAAGGAAAAGGTCCTTTCCCGGGACCAGGGAAAAGTGCAGTATTCCTTTCTTGTTTATATACCTTTGTAGACAACATGTGTAACAGACTGTGTGGTTTTGTGCCCTTCTCTGCTGCCAGGTGCTGTTAGGAGTCACACAGTGGGGCTGCTCTGGAGGGGATTGCTGGATGCACAGCTGCGTTTCTACTCTGACGACCATTTACATGCAGTGCTAGAGTAGTTAATTAACTTATGCTTAATACCTAAGTGCTTAAGGCTTTTGTTGTTACTGACAATTAAAGAACCTGACTTTAACATTCCATTGAACTAACATAAGGTCACCATGACTTGTCTTTCTTTTGCACTCGTAGCGTCACACTGTATGGTATGATCCACCTATGGATGTGTGCGGAATATATGATACTGAGCTTTCTGTTGGAATTACTAACTATGGAAATTGTGCTGCTAAGGTCTTTAGCTAATACTCCTTTATATATTTATGGGAACAGCAGAATACCTCCTAATATAATTCAATAGCCTTAGATTGTGAGGCATTTTCTGTGCATTGGGGTAATTGAGACAGTTATTTGTGTCCCTCTGGAAGTTCTTTGCATAGGAAAATGTTTTTACTATTATTAAAGACATGGACCAAAAAGAGTTAATCTTACTTGCTCGTGACAAGCAATTGAAGACATTATTACACATGTGACAGTAGAAGTGATAACCCCTTCATAGTGACTCATCCCCACTTCCAGAGCATAGCCAGAGAAAGTTTCATTCCAACCACTGTTTATTGTTGTTTTGTTTTGTGTTTTAGATTCCTTTTGCAAGATACGTAGCTAGAAATAACATCTCAAACCTGAAAAGGTAAGGGGCCTGGAGCGGTGGCATTTTGCACCGATGCCATGCTGGGTGACATGAGCACTGACGAGGCTCGTCTGGGCTGCGATGTTTTCTTTAGGTACTGCATAGAGCGGGTTTTCAGGCCCCGCAAGCTGGACCGCTGTCATCCCAAAGAACTGCTGGAGTGCGCGTTTGACATCGTCACCTCCTCTGGAAACAGCTTCCTGCCTGTGGCAGAAACCATTTATGCCATTTCAGAAATCATTCAAGAGTTTCCAGTGCTACAGGTAGATCCTCTAATCAGAGTGTTTTTTTAATATAATTCATAGCACTTTTTACTCTTCCTCCATCCTAAGATTTTAATCCAAGTGAATATATAGTCAAATGTGTTTAATAGGAATATTCCCTTAACCTCAAAAAAACCCACAGAATTTTTATATTTCTTGTTTGTATTTTCTGTTTGAAATTGAACTGTTGAACTGTTGAAATATCTCTCTCCTTTTAGACAAGTGATAGACAAGACAATAGAATTCTGTGGAATGGTGCAAACCTTCTTATTCTTAAATTATGGGTGGGAGACAAGGTGTTGGAGGGAGAGGTCTGAAACTGGATTTGAACAATGGATAAATTATTAAAAACTTAGGATTTTTTTAAAAAAAATTAGAATACTTGAAGAACTTTTTTTTTTCTTGTAATTTGCTAGGAAAGAAATTACAGTATTTACTTGAACCATACTGCCTTACTGAAAGCTATTCTTTTGCACTGTGGGATACCAGAGGATAAACTCAATCAAGTCTACATCATTCTCTATGATGCTGTGGTAAGATATTAGCTATTGAACTAATCTTTGTATTCATCACTGTAATGTATCGTATTATTCGTTTTAAGCTGAGTGGTAGGGTATGGCCAGCCTATCAAGGAACACACATTGACAGACATAAAAGCTGAGTATATTCAAGCTGCAAATTTATATTAACAACTTGTCTTCTGGATTGAGATGTTTTTAAAGGAACTTTAAAATATGTATGATAGAATTATTCACCTGTGTAATTAAAAACCAGTAGGGTATAAAATTAAAATTTTAATTCCTTTATTTAAATAGAAGAGACTGTGAGATTGTGTGAGCAATCTCTGGATTATAAACAGAGAGAATAATCTCTTAGAATCCTAGGAGAGTGTATAAATCTCAACAAAAACATTTTTATTCTTTTCAATTGCTTTTTCTATTTTTTTTTTAAATAAATTTACAGAAGCAGTTCAGTATTCTTTTTTATTCATTTATTCAGAAGTGCTGTTCAGGAAAAGTTGTGGCACTTTTTGTTGTTGTTGTTACTGAAGTAACCAAGCCAAATAGACCTCAGTAAGTGATGAGCAGAAGAGAGTTTTGTTCTTTCGTGATATTATTACAGTCATAAATACAACCATTGTTGTGTTTTAATTCTCATCAGTAGTATTTTTTTTCTTATTTCTAACTCATTTGTTCTAAATATGTTTGCATCTGTTTCTTGTGCTACAGACTGAAAAGCTAACTAGGAGAGAAGTAGAAGCCAAATTCTGTAATCTCTCTCTCTCATCAAGTAGTGTAAGTAATTTTATTTCAATATTAATCTCCCTGTAACTTGGCAAAAATCAGTAGTATTTTATTTGCTTTGAAGTTTACTCAACTACATTAAGAAATATAAACTGTTGTAACTACTGTCCGAAATAGATCTTTCTCTTAGGAAATGGTATGACTGTTCTCTCTGTACACTCATATTGCTGCATTCCATTTTTTATTCTTCTCTTAAATGTCTTTTTCAGACCCTGCAAGTAATTAAAGGAAACATTATACAGTGATCCTTAGTAAAACAAACTTTTTTTTCCAGCTTTCTCGACTCTACAGATTTATTGAGCAGAAGGGAGAGCCAAGTAATGTATTTCCATTTTTAAACACAATGATTAAACAGAAAACGGGTGTCACTCAGCTCTTGAAGCATGGCATGAAGGATCTAGAGGAAATCATTGGTCTGTTAAAGCAGCTTGGAATAAAACTTCAGGTTTGTAAGATATTCTGCTAATAAATTGCTTGATTTATAGATAACTGGATCTTGTCATTTGTCAGGAAACAAATGACTTTTAAAAAAAAAATCAAAATGTGTTTTGATGACAAGTAATAATAACGGTATTGATTTTGAGAGATAAATTTTCTGAATAAGACCTCTCCATGTCAGAAATCTCTAGCTTAATTCTCATTTAATTGTTACACATAGAATCTTTTTGGTCAAGATGGAACGCATTACCCAGAACATAAAAGATTTTAAATTTTTGAAATAACCTATAAATATTTTCAACGGTGGAAAAAACATGATGGTTACTGAGAGTTTTACATTCTCACACCCCTTCCCCGGGGCTTGCTAATTGGGTTTTTTGCTGCAGTTCTCTTGTGATGCTTTAAGTAAAGCGTTCTTCTAAATAGGATTTTTAATCCTATTTAAAGTTTTTGAGGTTGTCAGTGTTTTTATGTGTCTTCTTTATGTGAAAATGGTGTTTTAATGCATAGTGCTAATGGGAAATGAATTACATTTGCCGGTGATAATGGTACAAGATACATATTCATTTATATCTTACAGGTTTCTATAAATCTGGGACTAGTTTACAAAATACAGCAGCACAATGGCATTATCTTTCAGTTCATAGCATACATCAAAAGAAGACAAAGAACCGTGCCTGAAATTCTTGCTGCTGGAGGGAGATACGATCATTTGGTGCGTGCTCATCTCTTTTAATAAATGAAAAAAAAAATAGGAAAAAAAGATGTGTTGCAAAAATAACCATATTTGGGGATTTTATTTTGTTCTGTCTTGTTTTCAGATACCACAGTTCAGAGGACCGCAGACAGTAGGACCAGTTCCTTCAGCTGTTGGAGTCAGCATAGCTATAGATAAAATAACTGCAGCTGTTTCCAGCATGGAGGATTCTGTAGGTTTTCATGTTTGTTTGTTTTTTCCTAGTCCTGACAGTTCAGTAACCTACTTGTAGCCACAGAAAGGGGTCAAAAACAGTGCATAGGGTAAGAGAAAAATGTCCTGCTTTGGACAAGAGGGTGCCGTGCTAGATGTCCAGCTAGTGAGTGTTGCTTTGCCCCTAACACTTCTCCCTGCCTGATACAGTGACTGGAGGTGGAAGGGACCTTGCAGCTGAGGCTGTATGGATGTCCCATTTGTTAGAGGGCAAGGGTCAGCAAAATGATTACTTTCAAACATACCTAGGAATATGATGGCTTTAAAAAGATGTGAATCTAACCCTTTATTTCCTACTGATGTGCTTTGAAATACAATAATACATTTATCCTCCTTTGTTGTATTGACTGGTTTATATTGAGGAAAAAAAGAGGTCTGGTTGCTAATATTGTTTTTCTTGTTTTTACTTAAGGTTTCTGCCAGCTCCTGTGACCTCCTGGTAGTGAGTGCTGGGCAGATGTCAATGGGCAGAGCTATCAATATTGTTCAGAAGCTCTGGACTGTGGGAATTCCAGCTGAAATAATGTACGACTGGTCCCAGGTATGGGTTTGCCTACATATGTCAACTGAAGTATCTTTTAATAAGAGTTGCAATTATCAGAAGATTATTATTCTCGTTCAGCTTAAAGTGTGTCAGCTGATAACTAAGCAAAGAAATACCATGAATCACCCCTTTTGAGCAAGGTGCTGCAGAAGAGACAGTTCTGAGACACTCACGTGCTGCCTGACTTTTTAGCACTCATTCAGCACAGCCCTTTCCACGCTTTGATTCCTCTGTTCTGAATCCTTATGCTTTACCTACAACTGCCCTGGGTTCTCTTCCTCCTGCAGTTTTTAAGGGATGAAGATCTGGGCAGTTTCTGCTCTTGTTGGGTGCTGCCCTGCACCCTGTTGCCGAGTCAGTATTGCAAGCAGATCTCTTAAGTTCTGCACCGAGAGTGGCCTCAGTTGGGCTCAGGTTTATGTGAAACCCTCCTGGAGCCAGTGTGGAGCCAGTGTCCATGGCAAAGTGTCCAAGGTGTCAGTCCTGCAGGACTGAGCTCTTCCTGAGTTGGGGTAGTAATTGTTTGATTGAGGTTTCCTTGTAAATATTTACTGTTGCTTAGACCCTGCACTTAGCAGAGAGAAACGAGCACTTCTGGAACCTCATGTCACCCTGAAGATATCGTGCAAATTTAGTTGAAGTTGTGTCTCAAAAGTGCCCTTCTGGCCTTTGTACTCGGAAGAGAATTACAGTGTCTAGCTCAGATGTAGACTTGTACAGTACAGAAAGGAGGTGAAATAAAAATAAATGTTACCCTAGGAGTGGATCTCTGTAGATGTTACTTCATGCCAAGAATGCCTGCAGTTGGTCCTGGGAACCTCCTGAAACGCAGACAGACTCCGGCTGTGCCGTAGGGGCTCCGCAGGCACAGCCACAGCATCCTGGGCTCCAGTGACATCGGAGCCAATACAGCACTGCACTCGTCCACTACTGTCCGAGTTCCCTTTGGGAGGACACTCGGGAGGCAGGCAGTGCCCTCCCAGATACCCTGCCGGAGCCAGGGCAGGGGGAGCTGCGGCGCTGCCTCGTGTGTCAGCTGCACGGAGTGAGGGCAGCTCCAGGCTGAGGGTCCCCTCAGCACTGCCCGCCTGTCCCCGCAGGCTGAGCCCCAGTGCAGTTTTTAAGGAACATCAGGTAGATAAATCTATCCATAATAAAGTTCCACTTCTGGACTTGTTAATAAAGCGTTCCTCGCTCTACAGGTTATATGCTGAGTACAACTGTTGCACATCGGGTTGTTTTAACTGAGGGTAGGAGACCTGGTTATGTAAGTGATCATTTTATAATCTGCAAATTTCTGTTCTGTTCTGCCTGCCCTGTTTCATCTTAGTCCCAGGAAGAACTACAGGAATATTGCAGATGCTCTGGGATTACCTATGTGGCTCTGGTGTCTGATAAAGAGGGAAGTCACGTAAAGGTAAGCGTGGGCCAGGCAGATGCTTTGTTGGTGTTTCAGATGTATACTCAATTGTTCTGCACTTTTTAAGATGATGATCATTACATTTTCTATAAAAAACTCAAGTAGGTGGAATTTAGGTAATTTCAGTTTCAGTTGCCAAGTAGTAGAAAATTCTTCTGAAAAAGTATCTCTCCATTCTTACCTCTCCATTACATTGTTATTCACCAGGCTCCTTAAGTAGGAGAAAAGGTATTAAAATAAGTGCAAACATTGCTTCACTATGAGTTATTGGTCTGTCTTTAGTGGAAATATTTTTCCATTGTCTCAGATTTCCTTGAAATTATGAAGCAAGTCAGTTGACTCAATCTGCTCTGCAGTTGACAGCTTTCTACAGCTACGAAACAAATATAACTAAATTGTAAATCTAAAATAAAGAAGTAAACAGTTCTAAAATACCCTTGATTCTGTAAAATTATGAAAAAGGTCTTTATGCATTTAATGAAAAAAGTAATCATTCGACACAATCTGGCACAACTGTGTCATCTAGCCAGCTTGTATTATCTAAATATTTTTCACTTCGTGGTCTTTCTCATCCGTTCTCTTTCTCACTTTAACAGAGGTAATAATCTACTTGTTAATACAGTTATTTATGACAAAGAGAATGGGATGTGTCTGTGCCTTCCACGAGACTCTTACAGAGTGCTTTTTTTCTTTTGTATGACTTTATCCTAGCAAAAGCAAGAGCATGATAACAAGTTGAATGGCTTTGTGCTTGATTTGTCTTTTCTCTGGCAAAGATTGAGCAGATAAATTGTTGGAACGTTTGCCTGTAACTATGAGAAACTGAAAGCCAGGCACCATTCCAGAATTATACCATAAAGGAAAAAAAGTCAGAATCCATTTATGCTTTTATTAATGTGGTGTTTACACCTGTTAACCATTCAAAACTAATTGTCATGTATCAAGCACACATAGCCAAGGTGGTTCAGATTCTGGGAATGCAGAGGGAAATTGGTTGCAAAAAAAAATCTAATTAAAGATTTAATTGGCAGCGATCGGTTGGTCATGATGGTAATGATGAGAGTTTCTCCCTTTGACTGCTTCACCTTTAGTGGGTGATTAATCCAGTTTGTTGTCGTTTAAATTTGAGCCATTTATTCACATGCAGTTCTAAGAATCATCAATCTAAGAATCACTGAAATACATCATAGGTGAAATCCTTTGAGAAGGAAAGACAGACGGAGAAAAGGATTTTAGAGTCTGACTTGGTAGATCACCTGGTGCAGAAACTGAAAACTAAAATCTGTGATGAAAGATGTGGTAGGTAAGTAGTGAAACAAGTGAACACAAACAGTCAAAGTTACAAGTGATTGCTTGCTTTCCTAATTAAATAATCTTAAGAAATGCTTACTTAAATTTTGGTTTTATTCTTTAAAGGATAAGATCTTTGACAAATTCCTTTTGTGGGGAAAAGAAAGCAAAGGTGACAGAATTGCTGATTTCACTGAGATTAAGCAGTTGCTTTCCCTAGTAATCAAAATAACCTCAACTATCCCTAGGATTTCAGAAAGTACCAGGGTGTTCAGCTAGAGCTGTGCTCGAGCTGCCAGTTCAGCGCTGCTCGCCCACCTAGCAGTGCATGCACTGCAGGGCTGCCTGGAAGTGCTTGTTCCCTTCCTGTAGGGAGCAGGGAATCAAAGCAGCAGCTCCCTCTCCTCCTGAGGCAGAGCTGATGGTGCAGGAAAAAGGCAGAGCTCTGTGACCTGAGTGCCTCAAGGGAAAATACCTTCTGGCAAAGGCGTGGGATGCAGCCACATCATCCAACTTCTACTAGGTAAACTTAGATTGCCTGGTAAAATTACTAGGTAAGGGACCAGTAGAAATTAGTACAGAAAATATGTAAGATGATGCAAACTTATAATGAAAAGCTTCTGTTAATTTCTGGGATATTATAAATATTACTTTGATGCCTTAGTATTTCCTCACAAAAACTCATTAAAAGTTGCAGATTAAATTCACAAACTGCAGTATATGGCCTGCTGGGCTTGCTAGAGGAGATTTTATATTTCAGTCCTTTTGCACCCTTTACTACCTGCTCCAGAGTAGAAAATCTAAGCTGCAGAATCTAAGCTGCAGGAATCTCCATAAATTTCTTAAACTGTTGGAATAAAATAGCATACTTGTATGATAATCTGGAATCCAGAGTTATTGCTATATTCTTTCATTATGTAAATTTGTTTCCCTGTTTTTCTTGTTTATTTTTAGAGAAACCTCAGATAATCTCTCAGTACAAAATCAAAAGGGATCATTTGCTAATATTTCAGGTATTTGAGCTCTAGTTATAGAAAATACATCTTGATTTCTGTCTCCGTTGAAATATTCTTTTAAAGAAAATTGTGTTGGATCATTTTAGATGTCTTGCCAAATTCAGAGAAATAAAATATTTTCCAGCAGTAGATCTGTTTAGAGACACTTCCTCCTGATCACAAATGTTGTCCTGAGCAACCAAAAGCTGATTTTTTTCTCCAGATTAACAAATTGTAACTGCTCAGACCAACATATAGAACATTCTGCATAAAAGCAGTGGTTGCTGCAGTTAATTTGGCGGAAGTCAAAAAAAACCCCCAAAGCTTGAGCATTTAAATGAGAAATTAAATGTCATCTTAATGAAAAATGATAAAATTATGTGATTTGTGATTATGAATCTTGAAACTCATTTCACCTATACTAGTTTTTTTTTGACGTGAGTATATCTTTGCATATCTAACTGTAGCTTTGTTATCAGACTCTTCAGTCTGATAACTGAATTTTGCAGATAAAATCTAAAGTACTTGGCTATGTGCATAAAGTTCATGTTTTTGATAATTATGTCTTATAAATGTTATAAAAGTGGTGTTTTCTTGTTTTTGGTTTAAGAAAACTAATCTTTATCTTTCATAACAGTGGGGCAAAGGTTGCCACACAACTCAGTTTTTCTATAATTAACAGAATTGAACAATTTAGATTTCAAAATAAGCACCTCCAAGGTTAAATGCTGATTTTTTTATTTTCATTGAATCTACTGTTGGACTGAGCATTAATCATTGCCTCATTCTTTCAATAGCTTTACTTTGGGATTTTAGATATTATTACACTCATCTGTAGAATTGTTTCATTTGGAACTTGGATTAATTCCAGGGAACGCTGATATAAAATACCAGTATTTTTTAATGCTTCCAGTCTTTCGAAGTCTTAAATTTGCATTTGAGAATCTACTAGCACGCGTTCCACTGTCCTATCTTGACTTAAATTGTTTCCTTTGTGACCTTTGGACCTATGCTATATAGTTCTTCATTGATTAATAGTTGGGAATTTTCTGTTTCTTATTACTTTTTGTATAACCACTGGCTGTATGCTCAAACTCTCTGTTTTTATCCTAGGTGTGTTTGACTCGCATGGAACTCTCATAGTGCCTAACGTTAGTGTTATAGCTCCGGAAAAATTGTCTGCCAGTGCCAGACGTCGGCAAGAAATCCAGGTATGTGGGCACACAAATCAGCATCAAGAATTATTCCTAAGGAGTTAAGGTGGGAATTCACATTTTCCATAGCACCTAAGTTATTTTTTTACGTTCTGTTTATTCTTAATTCATAAAAGAGACAGAGATTTGAAGGTGAGAATTTTTATGTGTGTGTATATATATAAATTATATATATAAAATATATATTATATATAAAATTATATATATAAAATACATATAATACATTATATATTTATATATTAATATATAATATTAATATTATATATAAATTAGGACCATGGGGATTATGTGTAACGTGGCTGTGGCACAGCTATCATTATATCGGTGTATAAAGAAATCTCACTGTACATCAGTGATTCTGAAACTTCTTCTTTCTTGTAAATGCTCTGGCATGTTAAAGTTGCAAGGTCAGCCTGGTTTTCTTGTGCAACATGTTTGTAAGACATACTCCATATGCATTTCAGTATGTTGCCTCTAGCTGAAGGTCTTAAATAAAAAGCCATATGAAAAAAATTACTCTTCCTACTGTGTATTTATCAAAGATTATTATGAATTTGTTACTGAAAGTTACATTAAATGTAAATTTTAGCTTAAATAAGATTGAGTTCTACATCTTTTGTTCGAAGCAGCAGCTTCTTTTTGGCAATCTGTAAAACAGAAAGCAAGTGTTGCCAACCTGTGTCTCACAAGCAGTGTGTATTTTACTTTTGTCTGTCTTTTGTTGGCAGGTACAAACAAGACTTCAGACATTCATTTCTAGCCTGCAGCAGAAAACAAGTGAGATTGAGATTTTAGCAGTAAGTATTTTGTACAAACTTGCATTAATTTCAACCCCTTAATTTAATTGGGTGGTGCAATTGCTATTTGAAAAAAATATATATATATATATTTCCATTAGTTTCAACTTAGAAATAGCAAATGTAACCAAAATAAACTCGTGGCTTAAGTGAGATGCACAAATAGCCATTTGTTTGATACTCGACAAGTATTTCATACCGTGAGTATTGGAGAGTTGCACACAACAAAATACTTGTTAAACAAGCGTGTAGTTGAAAAGTCTTAGTCTATACCTGTCCCAGCTCTGGTGGCAGAAGATTGAGTAACTTGTTCCTGCTGGATTTGATCATTTAAACCATCGTGGCTTTTGTTTATAGTTTTTAGGCTTTGCTAAGAATATCATAAAGCATGTTAAACGGGTACATGCTTTCCTAACAAAATCTGTCTTGAGCAGCTTGTTTAAAATGTTTAAAAGCTGTGGCACCTTCCTGCTTCTGTCAGTATGGGTTCATCTGGGGAAATCGGAATTTCCGACTCTCATTTATATGGATAATCTCAAGTTGGAAAATTGACGACAGGAATAAGAACTGTTAAATACTTGATTTCTTTATGTTTTTTTTTGCAGGTAGATCTGCCAAAAGAAACTGTGATACATTTCTTATCATTAGAGGTACGCAGATAAGGATTGTCTTTGAATCTCTAATTGAACCCCTAATGGAACATTTTAAGTTTTGGAGCTGAATGTAAAATTTACCTATAACTTTTTTTTTTTTTCCTCCCAAAGGAGTTTGAATTGGTTTTTAAAACTGCAAAGTTCTTTAGCCAAAGGGCTCAAATGAGGCTAGAAAAATCATTTTGCTAAATGCACAGACACCATCAGAAGCCTTAATGCAGAACTTCAGCTTTCCCCTAAGAATAGTTAAATGAGATTAAGTCTTACTGCTCCTTTACTGCTGCTTTTTAGAACCAGTAAGCTTTAATATGCAGGCTAAGCAAAGGCTCTTTTGGAGGTATTAATGAAGGAGGACCTCAAATACAGAGGCAGTTGTTTTGAGTGCAATAGCTGAGCCAATTCTTAGTGAGACCAGGGTAAATAAGGGATTTATGAGTACTCTATTGGCCACTTTAACGACTCAAAAAGCTCTTCATTAGGAAAAACAAACAAAAAAGTTCTTTTTCTTCCTTTGGTGAGAGTAGTGGCTTTAAAGTCAGAAGTTCTCATTAGAGAGATTTACTCCTCCAAAAAACTCTAAAGAATGAGAAAAGAAATATGTGTGGCCTGGGAGTGGATCTGGTACTCCCAGTCCTGTTTTGGGTCTGCTGTTCTCAGGCAGTGCTTGGCTGGTAATACCATAAAATATCATCCAAATCCTTAGCTGATCCAGTCTATCCAGATAGTGGAGACAGTTTATCACACTTCCAAAAAGGGAACATGTGCACGATCAGCATGGCCATCTTGCAAGATAAATCACTTGTGACTGTCATTATACTGAAGTACATGAAAGTTTGTTTTCCTAAACTGTGTTAAGTTCCTTAATAGTCTTATTCTTAATATATTAAGTTTCTTAATATATTTTTAAGAACAGTCCAAGGTGCCAAGTGATATTTATACAAATTTTGTTTGAAATAACCTGTCTTTTTGATAAGCTGTTTGAGTAGGGGCGTTGACATTACCAACTTTCAGAAGAGCGAATCCTGTCAGAACAAATATTTAGGAAGAGAATTTAACACTAAATAATGTTCCTTATGAAATTCTTTTCCCTAGTTTGATAAAGACAGACAAACCTTTGATGCTACTGTGAGCCAGCTGATGTCACGATGGCCAAAACAGCGATGCTCTTATCTGCAAGCCATTTGTGATGAGATTTACAGCATCAAAATGGAAAAGAGGTAATAACGTTGTAAAGCAATAGTATAAAATAATAATAAATAGAGCAATAGTATAAAATAATATAAAAGATGCAATTATTTCTGCATTTGAACTTTACTAAATGCTCTTACAGATTGTCTTCTTTTAAGGAAAAAGCAGTAAGAAAATACGTCACTAAGTACTCTTCTCTCTTAACATGAAACAAAAGGCATAGTTATTTGATCACCCATTTGTCATTTATGTTACATACTAATTTCAGTTGGTCATTTTTTGAAATCTTTTTAAGAGTTTTTGAAACATGCTCTATTTTATTACCTTATTTGCTGGTTTTGCTCATAAAACTGAAGAGCACACAGTATTATGCTGTATGCATTTGTGTGGGCTGCAGTACACGTTCGTGTATCCTGCTGCCAGCCGATCATTCTGTGTTCTCACACTGACTCAGCTTCACTTCCAAAGCTGGAGGAGCTTTGATTTGCAGGGACCCTGTGGCCAAGCTGGCACACTTGCCAGCCTGCTCAGCTTGAAGTGCAGGTGGGGCAGGCGCTTCCTGCACATACAGCAAAGCCTGTTTCTGTTGTCTAAGCATGAAAACATTTAGATTGAACTTTGGAATGGCCTTGTCAGATTCTGTCAGGGCTGAAATGGTCTCCTCTAGGCACATCCCCCTTTAAGCCTCAGATTGAAATCTGCCCAGTAGGTGCAGATTTTCCGTTATCATTTTCCTTTAAAATTTTTTGAGCTCTTCACTTTGAAATTACTACCTAATATCGTTTTAGTAAGACTAAAAACTGATTTTGTTGCATCCTCATTTAAGAGGAGAAAATCAATGTTGCTTCATGTTTAATGTTTGCTAAGGCAACTAAATATCAAAATACCTTTTTTTTTTTTTTTTTTTTTCTCCTGTAGCTTGCAGGGCTGAGCAAGAGACTCCACTTGCTACCTCGTAAATATGCTGGGTGAGAATGTCACTCCAGCCCTGCTACGTTTTCCTTTCCCATTTCATGCCCTAAAACAAAACCTTGCTTGGCCAGAGCCTGCACATCACTGAGTAAGAGCTGAATGTGCTAGGGAAATGCAGGGGAAAAGTGCAAGGACAGTAAAACCTGAAGTTTACAGTTTTCTCCTGACTCTGCTGCTGCCACGCTTTACTGCTAAGATTTGCCACATTTTATTCTGGTAGCTTTTGAACTTGTACTTCCAAAGTTAAAAATCCTCTTTTCTTCCCTCTGCAGGGTTCCCGCGCTCATCCTGTACAGTTACCGAGACGAATACAAGGTTTTGTTTTAGTGCTTCAAGCATCCCTTAGGGGCTGCTTCGGCTGGAGGAGGATGGTATTTTTGCATAAGAGGATTTCAGAAAGCTGTTATAGTGCATATAGGCATTATAACAGGTAGGCAGCTAAGGCTTTTTTTTACAATGTCCAGCTTGAATTTCATGTGTAATATAAAACTGTAAATGTATTAAAATAAAAATGTTTTCTAGTCACTTATGGAGCAAAATCTGACTACAGCCGGCACTGTGTGATACCATGTAGTTCTTTTCCCTTTACCATGCAAAATCCAAATTACCAGCTGCACAGGGGTGAAACTTTTCTTGTATTTTCTGTATTTTCAGAATGCCTGTCATGTCAGGAAAAAACAGCAGCACTCCTTGGTTCAAGGAGTAGCAAGGACGTATAAACTTCAGCTCTGAAACTGCTTTAAAGGTTGCTAATGCTTTCATGTAAAATAAAAGGTTTAGTTAGCAAACACTTCCTGCAATACACACTGCAGGAATTTTTAACTACTGCTTTCATCTTAGAGCTCTAAGGTGGTCAAGAGAGCTGTTGCACGCCTAGTTACCTATCCTTGTCCAAGCCCATACTTCTTTCTATTTAAATCAAGCAGCTGCTTCAGTAAAGTTTGATGCTTGTTTCAGACCCAAAAGAGCTGAGTCTACAAAGACTGCAGCCTGCTGTCCTGCTGTTTAGAGGCACAATGACAACTTCAGCTTTCCTCCGGAGGCTGTCAGACTGCGTTTCAAGATGTACGTCATTAAAGCTATACAGCAATGCAACCATATAAGAAAAGAAATGAAGGTAAGGCGATCTAGAGCAGCTTTAGGTGTTTCACACCTAACCCCAAACTTCTTACACGTACAAAAGCTGCAACACAGTACAAAGCAAAACTCTGAACAGCATCAAACACAGGTCCATCCCAAATGTCACTCCTAGCCCTTTGCTGAGGCAAGTAATGTCACTCATTACAACCACATCCATTTCTCATTGTGTTTAATAGGAACAATTAAATATCCAACGTTTACATCTGCTTTGAGGAAGGCGCTACTTTAAGTTGTGAAGTACAGGGAAAACAGATCCCTGAATATGCTGAAGGATGAAACTGAAAAAGAACAAGAAGTTCTGTTGCCGCGAATGTTCTCAAGCCACGTCGGAACGGAACAAGGCAGCGTCTCGCCCTCCTCTCGAGGCAGCAGAGCTGTGAGCAGCGGAGCAGAGCCCCAGCTGCCCCGAGGGCTCAGGCACCCTGCTGCCTTGGGGGCATCTGCTCTGCAGCATGCAGGCACAGCCCCCAAAGCAAGATGCAAACAGGGAAGCTGCTGTTCCCGGGAAAACCTTGGCACCGGCTTTCCGCAGCGCAGCGGAGGCCGAGGCCTGTCCGCCCGCAGGACGCCCGGTGCCGCCGTTCCAGCTGTGGCGTCGCTTGGCCCCCGTGACTGTATTTCTCCCCGCTCCGTGCCACCCCCCCCATGGGTTTTACGCTGCCCATTGCTATAGTACAAAACAAACAGCAGTAAGTACAAAACTAGTTGGCAGTTGAGTGTGAAGCTCTTTGGGTCTAACCCTCTTACATACTCCTGCCATACAGCAATCCAGAGAAAGCGCTTTTGGCTTTCAGTTCAAACACAAGCACTGATCACATCCCAGTATCCTGCTGGAAGGAAAGCCAAAGACAAGTGGTAACTCAAAAGGAAAGGGACTTTGCTCTGAGCAAGGGTCTGGTCTGCCGAAATAAGGGTAGGCCGCTGCTCCATCATTGGGTTGCTTTGCTCTTCTTGTTTTTGCTTTTCTTGTCCTTCTTCTTCAGGCCATCCATGTTGGCTCGCAGCAAATTGGAGTACGCCTGCGGGGCAAGGAGCAGCGCTGAAGGAAGGGGCCGCTGCTGCGCGTGGGCACGCGGCACCTGCCCTCCCTCAGTTCTCACCCACTGCAGAAACTCAACTAACACACATGGATATTTTTCAAACTAGTGCAGACAGCCAGGCTACAATGAACCCGTGTGCCAGTTCAGCACTGACTCGACCCACTCACAGCTAGGGGGAAAACCTGGTTCACAGCTGCCCACTGCTTCCTGCCGACTGCTACTCCCAGCACCTACAGAAACGGGAGATGGAAGGCACGCAGAACTTACCATCTGGAATTTGTTCACTTCCTTGGAGCTCACCTGCAAAAGTAATGCTAGAGGTTAAGAAAAAAAAAAGGGATACAGTGTAAACTACGTATCAAGACATGTTTAGCCAGCAGGGACCATCCAGTCCCTAGCAGCAGCTGGGCCAACAGCACATTCAGTACTAAGTAGGCAGAACTCGCTAATTGAGAAAATCAAAACCTCCTCCCTCAATGAGCAAAATCAACTAGAGTTCTTCCCCAAAAATTATGCATTTCAAATGAAGGAAAGGAATGTTCTAAGGAAGATTTGGTTTCACTGCAGGCCCATATCAATTTTTTTTTTTTTTTTTTTTTTTTTTTGTGGAGATGTAAGCCCTGGAAAAGATACTTTATAACCCTATTCTCTCAGCTACTCCTGAAAATAACTTCTTCCTTGGATCTCCTCCATGCCAGAATCCACAATCAATTACATCCTTTCCCCATCTCCCATTTAAAGTGAACACAGCAGGTTTTAACATCTAAAGCTAAGATGTCCTGAAATACAAGTATCCGTGTAAATGAGGAATTCGGGTGTGCTATATGAGACTGAGACTGAGAAGAGTCCAGCCCACTCACACATGCTCCAGGAAGGGAAAAGAAAAGGCCCCCTTTCAGCCTGGGAACACATGGTTGTTTCCTCTCGCCAGCCAGAAAGGCCTGCAGGAAGCTGACTGGCCTGCACCTTTCTTTGCTCGGATCCACACCACGTGTCCTGTGTCCTTACCCTCCCTCTCGAGGCACTTTCCTCCATCCCTCCCAAGGATTTCACCCAAACACCACGGCCAGGGCTATTGAGAACAGGTACTGCCCCTTCCTGCTGTCCAGCAGTGCCATTCAGCAGCAAAATGCAGCCCACATGGAGCATCAGTTACCCCCTCTATAACACTGGCTGAAGTACAAGCATTAGACTTAGCAAACTCAACATTTTCATATCCAGGTTGCAGCTGGGCTTAGCTACCACACCATTTCTTCATAGTATTAAGTCAGCTCCCATAAAACTCGTGTCAGGAGACATTTCACTTAAAATATGGGACATTACCCTAGGGTAAAGCAGGGCTGCTAATCATTCCGACCCAAAACTGTCACTTACCACTGTGCTAATTTTCTTCTTTCCATCAGTTGCTCTTAGAAGACATTTATTATCCGCTGGTTCAAAACTGTCGGCGTGCCCTTTGCGCGGGACCGGTTTTGTTCGGCCGTCATCTGTGTTGAAAGACAAAGGCGGTTGGCTCCCACCTTCACTAAAGCCACTGGAAATCTCCTGGCATGAGATGCTGAGGAAGGGGCTCATGGGGGATTTGCAGAACCCCTGGAATTCAGGGCACCCGGGCTGCGGCTGCTGCCGTGTGGCCGCCCAGGCCGCTTCCCCACTGCGGGAACGTGGCCCCGAGCTGCACGAGGGCCCAGCTGCACCCTTTGCCAACGCTCCTTTTGTGCTCTCAGCTACCCCACTTAAGCCGAGGTGCTAAAATAATGACGACAAACACTATCCACACGCGGAGCCCACTTCCAGCCGCTCGCACCGCGCGCCACGCCGGGGCCTTACACTTCTTCAGGGTGATGAAGACGCTGCCCGACGTGCGGCACTTCTGGAAGAGCCTCGTGAGCTCCGTCAGGAACTGCAAGACACAGAGAGGCGCCGCGCTGGGCGCCGCAGGCCTCGCCTCGCCTCCGCCGCGCTCCCCGCGGCCAGCGCGGCCGCCACCAGCCGGCC